CTTTCCCTATCTGATATTGGACCCACACATGGATGAGAATCCCTATCTTGGCCGACCACACTAAGGGATAAGGGATAGAGGAGATTTCGTTTTGAAATTCAAAATTGGAGATAGAGATTTGATTCCTTCTAGAAGTTTGACTTCTACTCTATAAATAAGAGAATAGTAGAAAATTGTGGACACAATTTTTTGTGACAATTTTTGAGACAATTTTCGGAATTAATTTTTACCCTAATTTTAGAGGTGGCCGAAATTCCCTAATAGAGAGAAGGAAAAATTTTTCTCCAAAAAATTCCACATCGTGCATGCGATGGTGTTTGTGGAAATTTGAGTGTTTATTGTAACCCGTTTTATCTCATTTGTGCCCACACACACGTCTTCGTGGATTCTAGGAATTGACGTGGAAGACATTGGTTTTCTAAACACAAAGATTGGAGCAATGACTGTTCGTGATCAAAGAACTCAAGTTATCATCTGAGTCGGCTTCCAGGTATTTTTCCTGATTGAGTTCTTGATTTATATAAGTTAATGAGATTAATTTATTCGTGCATAAATTAATATAATCTATAGAGTATCTTAAAAGTTTTATGAAAATTTTTGTTATACACGATCCGCCTCCCTCCCCGCACCACGCTTCCGCATCCGAATTCGATTCGGAGACCAACAAATACTTGGAGTCGTGCCATGATCATGGCCTTAACTGCTAAGAACAAGTTAGGTTGCATCGATGGTAGCATCCCCATCCTAAAGCCGATGATCTCCTCCCCGGCATATGGATTCCCTGCAACAACATGGTCATCTCTTGGATTTTGAATGTTGTAAGTCGAGATATAGCTATAGCCTTCTCTATATTGACACTGTTGCAGAGATCTGGTCAGATCTTCGAGAATGTTTTCATCATAGCAATGGCCTGAGGATTTTTCAGATGAAAACTCATCTTGTTGCTCTGTATCAAGGTGCTGTTGATGTAAGCACATATTTCACTTACCTGAAAATTCTCTGGGAGGAACTCAAGATCTATCATCCAATTCTTGTTTGTCATTGTGGAGGTATGAAAAGTTAGATGGAATAACAACAACATGAGTATATTATACAGTTCTTAATGGGTCTAAATGAGTCCTTTTCTCAGGCCCGTGCTCAGATCCTTTTGATGGATCCTCTGCCACCTTTAACTAAGGTTTTTGCTTTCGTAGTACAAGAGCGTCAACGGGCAATCAACAATGGAGTTCTTGTTCCCACCTCTGTGACCATGGGGGATCCATCTCATTCAGCTGCTATCGCTGCGATAGCTAACGTCAACCTAAAGCCAAAACGAGATCGTCCATTCTGCACTCATTGTTGCTTGCAAGGTCACACAATCAACAGATGCTATAAGCTTCACGACTTCCTTCTTGGTTATAAGCCAAAAACCAAACAAGTTCCAATTAAGCCACAGGCTAATCAAGTTACAGCAACGGTAGTTGAAGAGCGCACCTCTGAATCCTTAGTTAAGGATTTGACTGCTTCTCAATGCTAGCAACTTATTGTTCTTTTGAGCTCTCTGTTCTAGACAAGTGCATGCTCTGTTTCAGATCCACAATAGCCTGGACTTTCTGTGTCAAGCTTCAGCAGTATTCTTTCACTCTCTTCTGTTTCTACTTTGTCCTGTGTTCAAATTCCTTCCATATCTTGGGTTCTGGACACAGGAGCAACCCACCGTGTTTGTTGCTCCTTTTCATGTTTTAACAGTTGTAGGCATGTAGTTAATTCCTCTATCTCTCTAACCACTTATCTCACGGTACCGATCACTCACATAGGTTCTGTTCGTTTATGTGATAGTCTCACTCTCCACAATGTTCACTACATTCCACAATTTCATTTTAATCTCTTGTCAATCAATTCTCTCACTCTCCACAATGTCAGATTTTCCTTTTCAATTAATTCATTGTGATATATGGGGGCTTTTTACACCAATAAGTACTGAGGAATATCGATATTTCTTAACCATTATAGACGATTGCACTTGTTTTACCTGGGTATATTTAATTCGTGCTAAATCTGATGTCAAAACAGTTTTTCCAGAGTTTTTCACCTTAATTCAAAGCCAGTTTAATGTGGCAATAAAATCTGTTAGGTCCAATAATGCTAAGGAATTGTCATTTTCTAAATTTTTTTGTTACAAAAGCTTCATTCCTTATCACTCTTGCACAGACACACCACAATAAAATTCTATTGTGGAAAGAAAGCACCAACATATCCTTAATGTAGCTCAGGCTCTCCATTTCCAATCAAACATACCATTGGTTTATTGGAGAGATTGTGTGCTCACATCACTTAATCTAATAAATCGAACCCCATCACCTCTCTTGTCCAATAAAACTCCATTTGAACGTCTTTAGAAAAGATGCCATCCTATTCTCATCTTAAGGCTTTTGGTTGTTTGTGTTACGGTTCCACACTTCCTAGACATTGCACTAAGTTTTCTCCTAGAGCAATTGAGTCTGTATTTCTTGGTTATCTTCCAAGGTATAAAGGATATAAGCTCCTCGACCTTGCCACCAATTCCATTGACGTCTCTAGGGATGTTATTTTTCATGAGACAGTGTTCCCTTTCTAAAAGGAGACTGTTTCAGATTCTTCTTTTGATTTTTTCTCTGACCGTGTGTTGCCTTATGTCTCTAATGTCGAGTCTTCTTTCCTATGCCTAGTAATCCAAGTACTCATATTCCCACATCTTCCACACGTCCAACTCATCAAGTAAAACCATATTCATATCTTCGAGACTATCACTTCTCTAGTGTCTCTCACACTCCATCATCCACTGTACATCCTCTCTCACATGTGTTAAGTTATGACAAATTATCTCATGAACATAAAGCATTTGTCATGCTATTTTCACACACTTCGAACCAATTAGTTTCTCACAAGTTGTTGCTATACTGGAATGGAGAAAGGCAATGACTGTAGAGCTTGAGACTCTTGAGCAAAATGACACCTGGTCTGTGACTTCTTTACCTCATGAGAAACACCTTGTTGGCTGTAA